TTTGAAAAGTTACTTAAATGTTCATCAACAATGTCAAGGCTTTCATTCTCTTTCATCAGTCTGCTAATTTTATTCATTTTTGAAGTTAATTGTGACAGCTTGGACCTTCTTGCGTTTTTGTGCCTGCCGAGCTGTTCTTCCAAACCTCTTTCGGTGTACTTTTGCGCCCTCTTGTGGCCAGTCCCGCTACTGCAGCTCTGTGCCCTGGGCCTGGAACCTTGCGGGTCTTTATCTGCCATCTCTGCTCCTTTTACACAACTTCTTATTCAACAAGTGTTCATGAAACAAAATGGTCTATGACACAAAGCTGAGGCTTTCGTAGTTAGTGTCATCTTCTTAAGACCAAAAACACTGTCACTGACTTATTTGTAAGAAGTTGAGAATCGCAATTGTTCAGTTTTAACACGACTTGTAGCTTAGCAGCATATCATAGTCCAAAACTTTATCCATGAAAGCTTATTTCTTCTTTTCTTAGATTCTTCATGCATACAGCTCTGTGCACTTAACTGACTTGCTGTATCAAACTTTGCACGATCTCATAGCGATGCAGTCGTCTTGCTCGGGAGCATGATGGTTTTACTTAATGTAGTGGCTATCTTTGTTTCTTCTTGGAGTTCTCTATTTCTCTTATATCTAAAATAAGAGTCTGGATGGACAAGAGGCTGTTTTACGCGTCTGTTTGTGCAACAACGACGATAAAACCATCGTGTCGCTCCGCCATTCGCTTACTTTATTTCTCACAAAACTTTCACAACAAAAGCACCATATCCTTTTCAGACTTTTCAAAATAAAACATGTAATAACTATAAATGGCGCTAACAGTTGTGGCTTCATTTTTTTTACGACAATTATGGGTCCAAAAAGTCACAATGGGCTGCTCAAGAGCCGGCAACACATCATTGGCTGTTTTAAACAGGAGGGATATTTTATTATGCAATATTAGAACTCAAAACATGGTTAATAAGACTAATTGTTCTGTAGTTGTGTTCATAAAACCTCTGTTGAGGTTCAGTCAGTATGTGAAATTAAGTAAGTAGGAAATCAAATTAGGTGTGAGGCAATTATTCTGGTTTTGGTTGGAAAAGAAAGAAATGTGATGAAGGTTTGACAGGCATGACTGACAAATATATGTGTTAGTATTTTCAGTGTTACATTCCAGTTAAACATATATGTAACATTATATAAATGCTGGTGCTAGAGCAGCTCAGCATTCACAATTGGTGGTTGTAGTTTCTGGCTAATAATGAAAAGAAATAGAAAATATTCTACAAAAGGTATTCAATTGGTTTTCTTCTGTCCTGTTTTTAATGAATTGTTATTCATTTTGTATCTGTTTTGTTCAAAGATACTAAAAATCACCATGAAGCTGCTAACTGTGTCTGCACTTCTCTGTGCAATGGTGGCTCTAACCACGGCTGCTGGTGAGTATCATTGTATAATTTTTTATCATGTATATAATTTTAATGAAACATATAAATGAATAATACAATATACACCTTTCTTATAATTATCATATGCAGAAAATTGATGGTCAAAATCAATACTTTTGGTGGT